TATCCTAGCGCAGCAAGACCACAAACTATACAGGACACAACAACAACGTACAAACCAGACCTCGAACAAACTATACAAGTGCACTCATCATTGAGTTAAAGTTTGCACTCATATTCATATTTTTGAAGTTGCCTTCTCATTAGAATTTGGAAGATATTACACAAATTTCAACTAAGTATTGTGAGAGTTGAGAACTATAGACAAACAAAGCCATCTAATCTATCGGAATGGGGCAAGAGGATTAGGACTACGCAATGCTTTCGAGCTTTTAAGCTCTTTACACACATTATCTAACATGTTTAGAAAATCTCTTACAACTACAAAAATTCGAAGTGGATTCGATTCATCTTTGCTCACATCTCCATGAAAATATTCTGTCGTCTGTCGGACGTGTAATAGCACTCCATTCTCATCTTCTTGCAGTTCCTTTAACTTCATGTCACCATATTTCAAAAATGATCTCATTGAGTTCACAAAGTTCCCATCATCATTCTTCATTTTGAGGATCTTGTGTACTAGATTTTGTAGTTTGCTCATTCCATTTGATAAATTTGATACAGAACTTGCAAGAACATCCAAGTCTATTGTAGCCATCTTCTTAACATTGCAGAGTTCAGTACTTAAGCCAGATACAAGATCTAAACCCATCCTCCTGTATTTTTCTTCTTTATCTTCGAATGTTGAGGTCTTGCTCCGTTGGTTGATCTTGCCCATGATGCTCTCCGATGCTCGAAATCCTTCTGATCTGATAATTTCTTGGACGACGAAATGGAGAAGTGTTGTTTTTCCATCTGTTCCCTTTACATCAGCGAGCTTAAGAAGGGCGTCAAGCTTGAAGGCAGTTGCTCCTCCTCGTATTGTTCCAACGTTCATCCTGTTACCTGTTTTAAGCACTGCCTCGAGTAGTTTGAGGAATAGTTGACTTGATCTGAGCTCCTTGCAAGCCTCCTGATTAAATAACAGAGGTGGTAATTCTGAGAAGGTTATACTTTTGATTGTGCAAAATTGTTCGATTGAACTGTTTACCTCAAGCATTGAGAAGGATTTTCTGAGATGGAAAACCTCGTCTTCAAAAGTTTCTCGGTAGAGCATCGCTTCAATTCTTAAAAATGCAAATGGTACTTTAAGCATTGCTCTGACTAACTTCTCGGCTGATCCTAATTCATTACTGTCTCCTTTGTAGTTTGCAAGCTTAGCCTCCTCTTCCTCAGTAGGCACCATCTTTGTCAGTGTCTCTAAATCTTGCAATGACAATCCATCCCCTATTTGGGAGTAAAAAATATAATCAAAGCTTCTTAGTTCTTAATACATAGCTCTATCATTTGTTTGTCAGACAGAATGAAAAATGTTTTTAGTTAATGGATTATGATTGATCGTGTAACTATGATAAATCGAAGTTGCTTACCTTGAATTAGTGCTGCACATAGATAAATCGAAGTTGCTTACCTTGAATTAGTGCTGCACATACTTGTTCTGTGGAAACATTCAAGGCTTTCGAAAGTATAGTTATATTTTGCAGTCTCTTAGGCTCCAGGACATGCTTGCTTGGAGATGGGGTTTTACTTTTAACTTCTTCATTCTTCATGGTGTTTTGGAGGTTGTAACCGAAAAGTGACTCGATCATTTCCTCATCAAACCTGTGCAAATGTCATCATCATAAACAAGTTGTACAAGAGAGAAAGTCATTATCCTAATGGAGAGAATGTACATCTTACTCAAACGAGCTTGATCTCATCTTGTCCCATACTGTCGAACGATCTGGTGCAGCTCGGACTTTGTCCCAATGAAGAGGTTTAAGCTTTGGCAATGGGACGCCGTCTTTGCCCAGTGGTGTATGTTGAGTGCGCTGAGATGGGGGAGGAGGTGGGACTTTGAGAGAGTTGACGTTTCCTTTCGGAAAAGGAGGGGGGCATGGAGGTGGAGGAGGGGGTAACGATAATTCAATATGTGGAATTTTGTTTGATTCTGATGATGACGAGCTCAAAAGGTTAGATATCCTCTTTGTTGAAGAAGGGATAGACTTTGAAGGATAAATATGTTCGACCGGTGGAGGAGTGGGTGGCAGTGGAGGAGGCGATGACTGACTTGGGGCCAAGGGAAGTTGTGATTTGAGGTGTGAAACTTGAATTGATTTCTCTGTTGTAATGCCTATAGAACAATGTGATGCCTTTGATTCGTTTTGGGAGAAATTTTCCGAGTTGACACTAAGACTACCAGCTGATGCATTAGAAAATCTAGCATGTGATGAATGTGAATCACAAACAGAATGGAAAGATTCAACATCAGAGGAATTGGCTTCCTCGGGAATAAATTTATCGTAGACTGAATGAACTTCTTCAGTAATTACTTTTTCACCATGTGATGAAGAGTTACAGCCATCAAATTCATACTTATATTCAGAAATTTCACAAACAGTGGTTCTCTCTCCAACAGCCAAATATCTATCATTCTCACATTCTGGTTTAACGAGTTCCTTAACTGGTTCTTCGCTCTCTTGAATTGTAAAATTTACCGTGCTTTGATTTGAGTATGTGTTTTGAGCGTCCAAATTAAGCTTCAAGCAAAATTTTTCGGGTTCTAATGCAGTTTCTAAGGAATCAAGGTAAAAAAGGTCAGGGCCTGTATCAGAATTTACCTTTTTCACAGTGCTCTGGGCACTCGTATACTTTGATTTACCTGTGATTCCTGCCTCAGTGCTGAATACAGAGATAGTCCTCTTGGATCTCTTTTTTCGTCTTTCAAAATTCCGGCAGCCCCAGTAGATCCCAATGGCACATAATACTAGAGAGGTAACTCCAACAGAAACAAGAACTGCTGTCCAAACTCTTGTAGAAGTACCCTTATCACCCTTTTGTATCTTGCGCGTAGAAGGCATCGGACGATGATAGTGGTGCGAGGGCGGACGAGGATGTCCATGTGGATGCAGCACCGGAGTAGGAGCCGGAGCATTAGTCGCAATGTTGAGTTCCTGGGAAGGTCCCGGGGCAGGTGCTGGTGTCGGTGAGTAAGCATTTGTTGGTGTTTTTATGTGGAAGCTCTTAAGTCCCAACAAAACTCTTAATTTCTCCAAAATCAAGGCCTTTCGATCTTTATCTCCATACCCTCCTGCTGTATTGAATGCCTCTTTTACAACCAAAGTGTGGGTACAATGATATGATGTGAGAATGAAAATAATGATAAAAATCATGTGGAGAATCTGAAAACCATGACCCATGTTCTTGAACCATAAGAAAATTTTCACAACTTTTTGGCCTATAAATCTAGCTCATTTCTACTGCTTAAAATGTAATACAAGATTGGGCTTTGGATGGTGAGAATATTGTATAGCAGTAGAGAAGCTGCAATGTAGCATTGTCTTTAATGCTACTCCAAGGAACCCCCAGCTGCAGTTGTAGGTACTGGACCACCTTTATTTCTGTTCTTGTCCTCTTCTCTCTTCTCTCCTCCATTAATTCTCTGAGTACTGTTAATATTTGGTACACGACCACCTTCTACTTCGTACACTTTCTTATAGGGGGTTTATTTGTGATGATTCTTTCTTTAGGGCAATCTTTCATCTAATACAAAAACTGACCAGTTTCTCCCGTTCTTTGATTATTCTGACACTCATTTGTTTTAGATCTTCCACTAGATTAAGCTATGATCGATCTTAAATTAAATTTATTAGGAATTGGGCTTAACACTTACTCATCATTTGCTGTTGGAGAACTTTTCAGGATGTGAGTTTAGATTCATGGGAATCCAGATTTTATGTAGCTAGAAGTCATTATTCAAGCTGTAAGTGTTTATGGGTAGGCCCCAATTTGTTGGATTTGCTTTACACTTGTGTAGGGTGATAGCGTAAGTTGTCCAACCCGGGTAATTTTTATCAATCTTGCTACGTGCATATCTTGGTTTACACCTTGTTTTATTACAGTTGACACAATTTTACATCATCTTTCACATCGCACGCATTTAATCCAACCATTATAACACATTCACTTCATCAATCTGTCAATCAAGGTGTCAACCAAATTATACAAATAGCTTAATTCATTTTTGGAACGAGCTACAGTGCCACCCTCCTGACAGAATACACACATTGGGGGGAGGGAGACTTTTTTTTTCATTTTTTATTTCAGCCGGGCCCTACGTCGGTCCCACCCTCTTGTGAGGGTCGGTCACCTAAGTGGGCAGCCCTTTTCTGGCAAAGGAGCTTAACTCTTCATTTTTTATGTTAAGACAGGGACAAACATGGGACAAACATGGTCCATAACTTTCTCATGTGATCTTCCCACTCACTTATTAATATTGTCACAAGGCATAATAATATTGTAAAAAGTAGAATAAACAATATTTTAATTAATTTTTTTTTAAAAGTAGTTCCATATCCTACTACATATTTCTCACAAAAAAGTAATAAATTTATATTAGATAAACAATACTAGTAAGATCGGACAAAACAATAAATAAAGTTCACATTTCTATTCCCCATTTAGGGTATGTTGGCAGAGCATTTTCTTTTGCCTCAATTTTTTGTACAAGAATTTCATGAGAAAGTCACTTTAGATCAGCTCTCTTTAAAAGCTATTCTAGTCAGATAATGCAATTTCAAAAAACTATCCAAATATTTTTAAAACAATTATAAATTTTAGATACAGTTTTTTACTTTTCAGAAGTCATTCTAAATGGAACAGTTAATATTTATTAAAACTATGCAGTCGAACTTTATCAAACTAACCCATAAATACTTTGCAAGATGCAGAATTGATCTCTTGTGGCAACTTCGTTACATCGGCGATGGACATTATAACTTCTTGACCAACAAGTAAGATGTTGAGGTTGGATAATCAAGGGGTATATCATACGTCATGTTCACACCCTTCCTAAATCCCAATTAGCAGATTGAAAAGGCTTTGTATTTAGTGCTGTTTTTAGGTCACAAGTTGACAATTATGGCAGTCTAATTAGAAATGGTTTTTCAGATAACATGCAACATGTTACAAAACCTACTTCCTTTGTCTCTAATTGCCTAACTTAACCTAAACTCGTGTGTGTGAAAGAGAGAGAAGTGAAACCGACAAAACAGTGACATACTGACATTAACGTCGGGTTGCAATGGACAAATTGGCTGTCTTTTCGCTTCGGCCTGGACATCCTAAGGCAACGCCGTGTAGCTAAGGGACGGACGCTGAGTGTTAAAGTTAAGAGGTACAATCAAACTTATAAAGAAGTTAGAAGAAATTTTACAATAGAAAATTTACTTTCAAAAAAATTATATCCCGTATAATTTTGCATCCGAAAATTTACATGGGATATAACTTTTTCAAATGTAAAATTTTGAAAATTTTTTATGTTATATTCCATATAAAATTTCCTAATAAAATGATGAAAATTATATCGAAAAATTTGTATCGCAAAAATAATAAATGTTAATGAAATAATTGAATTTAAAAAAAAAATGCGAGTTAGACGTCTTTTTTTAAGACTCACATTTAACATATTTTTAACTATTTTCGATATCTATTTAGACTATTCGATATACTCATAATATGGTTCTTGAAATAAGTTTTGAGATGACATAAGCAATTTGTAGATTCGATTAGCGTACAATCATCGAATTTTTTTTAAAATTAGCATGTTATCGAAATTCAAATTTATTGTGATTTTGCCCCTATTTGGGGGAGATTAAAATCAATTTTTTAGTAAATTTTGATAAAAGTTAAAAAGTTATGAATTCCATGAAATATGTTATTAAAACTAATTGTTAATTTTCATTTAAATTAAAATTTAGATTTCAATCGATACCAAACATGACGTTAAAAAAAAAAATCCTCAAAAGTTGGGGGGCACGTACCCCCCAGGACCCCCTGGGTCCGCCAGTGGTGTAGCTCATCGCTTTCGCAGCATGATGGTGCCGTCGGATCAATGTGGCATGGTTATTGGGATTTTGCTATAATACAATTAAATCGGGAAAATTGACATGGAAAATTTTCTAACATGTCAATTTTCCCTCTTTCTTCAGGGACAAAATGAGATTTGTTTCCTATTAATTTTTTTCATTAAATACTTTTATTTGAGAAGGCTCGAAAAGTTGATAAAAAGTTAAGTCAAAATCTATAATAAATTGATCGTATATTTTATGTGACCTACAATTTTTTAATCATGCATTTTATTAACTCATATAAAAAAACATGATCATGATTTAGGGGGTGTTTGACAAATCTTTGGATAATTTTTTTAGCTAATTTTGATAAATGTTAATGTAATGTGTAATTAAAAAAACTGAGAAAAGTAGTGTTTCCATAAAATTTGTGATTAAAATTAAAGTTTAACCAGTTGAAAATTTGATAATTTTAGTAAAATTTTATCAAACATGCAATCAGGGGCGGAGGTGGGGGGGTCCTAGACCCTCCCAATTTTATGACAAAATTTTTTTTTATTTTTTGGGCTCAATTTTTTTTAGTTATCTCCTAACTAATTCAGAATTTGTAGGATTACAAGGCATTTGTGAGCTTTCACAAAAGTGGGTTGTGACAAAAAAATGAAGTATACCCGTTATTATACGAGCTTTTGACATTGGCATTAGTTTCTCAGAGTATGAAAACTCGAAAGGAACACTTGTAAT